CGGCACAAAATAATACTTTATCAATACATTCATATGTGTATAGTTTTTCACAAAGCTGCAATAACACCACATACTCTTGTGAAAATCGGTCATTATTTGATACATTTCAACAGCCTTATTTAAGGTTCTCATAACACTCCCCATTGAATATCCCAGAATAGAAAGAAATAACAACAACAGCAATAAATTTATGTTTAACGATGTAATCAAGCGTTGTCAATTATTTTAATGAAAATTATATTCATTTAGGACTTTAGGGCTTTTTTATTTATATTTAAATGTTTTATTTGATAAGTGCAAACTAATTTAAAATCGTCGCCCGGTGTCCAAAACTCTTTCTGTAAGCAAACACAACACAAAAATAATGGAGGGTTCACAAAAAAAACACAAAAAAAAAAACAGTAAAGTATTCATCAAAAAAGAAGAACCTAGTATATTTTCTTTTATTTACACATTATTGAAACTTGTCAACTCATAGAAAAGAATAGAGAAATTTTATAAAGTAGAATTAAGTCTCAAATACATTAGTAATCTTTTACATGAATATGTAACGGAACCAATGAAAGAAGACTTGGTTTGTGCAATAACAGCGCAGTTTCAAGCGTTAACACCAATATTATCAATGGGGGATTACCCTTGCACATTATGGAATATGTCTAGTAATATTTTACACTTGATTACTCTCCCTTTGCAAAAACCTTGTGAACATAATATCGCGCTTTGTCTCTAAAAATATGTCAACAAATGTGACAAATGTAATTATTTATATGACGACTTTTGCAGCATCAAATATGCTACTGTCCTTAGAATCTAGACATGCGTGAAACATTATGTTCATCTGTTAATGAAAATCAGGTAAAGCACGACTCATTTATACAGCTGTTATAGCACCGTAGAGAACGTGTTACAGTATCGCGTTTTCCGGTTACAGTATAGAATTTTCGAGATGGAGGATTACTTGTTGGAAGGACAGGTAGGAGAATTTTATTCTGATCCATACTACAAGTACTTTAGTTTCTAAAATATGTTTTTTGTGCTTTGATTGTAAGGAACAGAATCCGGTTTCTAGTGTCATATATTTTTTCATTATTTTTTTCATCGCTATATTGTCTCATTAATATGCAGATTTGACAGTTTGAAAATTTGAATCGAGAGACCAACGCATTTTCCTCCAATTCCGACATTATTTAAGCATGCCTAGATAAAGTTAATCTACAAAACGTTAGTACTTTGTGTTTAGAAACGTTCATGAAAGTAAATGACCAGTTGAACCTATTTTCCTGTTGGTAAAATGCGTTTGAAAAAATAAACAATGTTACAATATAGAGCGTGGTTAATTTTGAAGGGTTACAGCATATACCTAGCGACTTTGATCCAATTTTGTAACAGTTTATACCCAGATTTCGGTTACCGTTTAGACTTCGAAAGTTTCTATATATACTAGGTAAAATGTATGAATGTTACATAGACTTTTAAATCTCTGTGAGCTTATTGGCCCGATGGCTATTCGTCCGTCTGTCGTACACATGTGTGTGCAATCTCATCCGCTCAGTAACTACTTGACAAAATGTGATGAAATTTGTGATGAAATCACATTTAGTCAAGTAGTTACTGAGCGGATGAGATTGCTCAGTGTTGTTATATTTTTCTGGTCCTTCGGGATCATTGATGCCAGCACTATTAAGTGTTGAGAAATGGGTACCGCTGAAGGCGGTGCTAGGGGGCGTGAGGGATGCTGTACGTATTCATTATCCTTCATGTACAGATTCAATCAAACCGAGTCTGCATTTTTTGTGATTTTGTTTGTGATAAATGGTTAAATAAATGACATACATGAATGATTTTGTTAAATATCAAAAAAATGTCCTATTAAACTTTAAACAATGTTTGGTCAATGTGGAGGAATTAACGATTGAAAATAAATAAGAGGAAGTTGTTGTCCTGAATGAATACACCGAATTAAAGAAGCACGATTTATATGACTGAATAATATCGTATTTGTATGCCCACGCCCCTTCGAAGAAGAAGGGGTTTGTGCTTTTGCTCATGCCTGTCGGTAGGTATGTCCATCGGTAGAACACATGGTTTCTGCTGATTATCTTAAAAGTCTTCATATTCAACACACTGATTGGTCTTAACTAGTAGATGACCCTTATTGATTTTAGGGTCACTAGATAAATGGTCAAGGTCACAAGGCAGTGAATGTCAAAATAATTTCAGCTCGTTATCTTTAAAATTATTTTTCACAAAGTCTTCATATTTCACATAATGATAAGTCATAATGGGGTCACAAGTTCAATGGTCAGGGTCTTTATATTTTACATTTTGTTTGGTTATAACTAGTACGACATACATGAACACTTCCATGTACCTATTTTTGCAAGTTTCTATAACAAAATTACCAATAGTATGAGTCAAGGACTAGAATGGGGGGCATGGGGGCATATGTGTTTTTCGACATTTCTCGTTTAACGTTGAATCTAAATTTCCTCTTCATACATATATTTATGTATGTTGAAAATGCACAAGTATTGTGTGTGACATATTAATCATTTGTCTTGTGTATTGTACGTTCGCTAAATAGTCAGTGTTTGTAGACAATATATTGTATGTGTATTTGAATTCACGAGAAGCAAATGTCCGCGGAAAGGTCAATTTCGCGCTTTTTTTAATTTGCGTAATTAGGGAGGTGACTGCAGAAAATCATACATTCCCGTATTCAAGTAAGATTAATCCAAAAATAATGGAAATTACTGTAATCATCATGCAAGTTCATTTTCCAAAACCTTGTGTCAAACCATACGCTAGTGTACAAAACAAAGACATTGTCTAGCAGACAGATTATGGCAAACAAAAGAATGCCCGTTAACGTGCATGATTGTTCACTGTTTGCGTCATAAATGTCTCAACATCTCGTTAGATCATATTTTTTTTCTTCTTACAAAAACAATACACAAAACACAAACATTAACGATTTTAACTGACGAAAAGCTTTATAAAAAAAACTACAAAATACAATTACTTATTAAACATTTAAATGAAATCGTATGTGTTGAACGCATATTCGCTGACATACATTGTTCTATAGAGGCGCGAAAATATGGCTATTAAGACATTATTGTTGTAGAAATATTCGCGCTGAACATGAATTCGCGGATCGAAAATCACCGTGAAGATCACGAACAATTGAAGCCCGCGAATATTTCTAAATATACAATATTATATCATTTTAGTTAAAACAACGCTTGTTCTTAATAGTATTGGTCAATAATCGTGAATGTTTAATAGTTTTGCAGGTGACGTGAAATAGCAGCTTGCATTTTAGACTTGCTACGTATCCAGTCGAGTAAGTACTAATTTAAAATAAATACAATTAAGTTTTTTTTTCTTTTATTGTAATAATAAAGAGATATGGTATAGATTCTCTACTAAAGTCGTATACAGGTTATTTTGTTTTAAAACGTGAAAGAAAATATATTTTGTTATGTTCTATTTGTGTTTTTATTTAAACAGTTTATTTATATACAAAAAGGATTTTTGAACAGAATTCTTTCAAAATATTTTAAATGTTTGTTTTTTGAACTTATATCTACTCTTTAGGTGAACAGCTTTGTTCATTTATAATTTTCTAACAATGTAAAAGATAAAAGTTTACGTTGTCTTTTGTTTATGGGTGTCTTATTTTGTGTTAAGTTTAAAAAAATTCTCTCTATGATGAATGTTTTCTATTTAGCAGATATAATCAGTAAGTTGCTATAGAGGCTCCCTGTCGTGTACAAAGAAAAGACTTATGTACACAATTGTATTCTGAAGAAGGAAGTTTTGAACGTAAAATTAAAGGGGGACATTCTAGTTTTGCAATACATTTTTCATATTTAATTCACATCAAAGTGTAACATATTTGAAATTAAAAACTAAATTTATATTCAACATGTTTGATGAATCAAGTTATGCTTCATACATTTTGGAAGTGATTTAGTAGCTTGTTTATTGCGTTTGAAAAGAAGTAAATAATGATCCTATATACTATACATGGATCGTTCTTTCCTTACCTTTCATCATTTTAAAATAAACCATTTGCTTACCCTTAGCTGAAAATATGTTACAACAAGTGGAGTGCACGTGATGTTAGTGTTTTATACCAAGGACAATGGCTATCAATAAACAATAAAACCCCTTGTCATCCAATCGCACATTTCCATGGTAAAAGTAATCCACGCATCGTATTTCTTTCTTAGCTTTGAAATAGTAATGAAACATTCTTAACGAAAAATTCATTGGTCAAAATGAGGCATTATTAAGAAAGAAAACTTTCGTAATAATTCTCCTTGCCTGACATGTGTGCCTTACTGAAAACTTCAAAGGGGCACAACTCTAAAATATAAATTTCAGAATTATTCCCTTGCCATGCAATAAGCAAGCTAGTTAGTGTCTTCTTAAAATTTATAAATCATGGGCTAAATTAATAGTTGTGCTGATGGTGACGACGACAACGACGCAGTGATCATAATATTTTAATTATTATAATAGCAAGGTAGCTTAATATGACCGAATACTATGATTGTGAAGGTTAATAAATTGTTGAAATTAGACCTTTTTGCCAAATACCATTGGTGTTTATCGGACAAATTGAATGGATATCCCACGCGGCAAAATATTTGCTGCCAGATATTACCCTGTTGCGTGTCAATGTATTTTGGTTTATTTACATTATCTGATCATGTTCTATTTCATAAAGTTAACTACTTAGACCAGAACACACCTAAACCAATTATTTAGATGATAAATATTGTTTTCCTTGGTTTGGAGGAATGCACTCTTTCAACATTTTACAACAATTACTTCCTTTTAACTTTGAGGTTTTTTTTAACCTCATAGAATGTTAATCACTAAATTGATCAAAAAAGCTCAATTTAAAGCTCATTTATTGTTTAATATTGAATGCACTTTATATAAATACAATGGTCGTCGAATACCATGACAAAATAGATCGAGTCCAACATGAGTATGTAAAATGGAATATAACATACAGAATAAGCGGATTAAGGGTGGCCACCTTTAAATGAGAATGTCAACAACAAAAATGTCACTTTAAACACCATGTTTTCAAACCTCAGATAAATCAGCAAGACATCATGCCGAAGGCAAACATGTTTTTATTTGCCATTTTATTAATGTTTTCAATTTCCACCTCGTTTTCGGAATATGCATCGACTTGCGGAAATTTTGATTGTGAATATAAATTGTTATCAAAACTGGTACAGCTGGAAGAAAAAACTGCTCAACAGCAGAAAGATATAGCTCTACTGAAAGCACAACTTGAAGGTAAAAAGTTCTTTTGCTCTTTAAATATTAATTTAATGAAAAATAAATTAACACAAATGATTTTCATAGAAGATTAAACAATTAATATAAACAATTTTGTTAATACTGTTATCAATATTTTAGTTATATACATGTTGCTTTAAGATATATGCAACACACCAGAACAATCAATTCAGTTTTATTCATTGAATTATCAATCAATGAGTTACAGATTTTAAAGATAAAACGTTTATCAGACTGAAGCAAATTTTATCAAGATTTAAAAGAAACAAACTCAAATCACGTTTGTTTTTGTTAGAAGTACTACATAAATATAAATAGCTTACCTTCTAAGCAAATTTAAGATTTCTGTAAGATATGTTAAAAAGTAAGAAAGTTAGGGGGTTGCCTTTTTGTATTGTTAAAAATAGCATGGCATGTAAGATTATCGGAAAACTATTGAAATGCGGTTATTTAAATTTAAAATCCATATTAAATGCAAATAGACAACAGTTTGTCAATGTGTTGGAATTACATGTATGTCAGGAGAAATGTCTGCCTTGATGTTATTTAATTTAAGAAATGATTTAGTAATAAATACTAGAACCAATTTCCAAGATATGGAGGCTGGGCAGCACCGCCTGACATAAAAGTGAAATATTCTCAGTTGGAAAACTAGCATGTAATTGTTTAGTTAACACTATCTTTTTTTAGGTATTTTTATCCTTTTCTATCTCAAATCAATATATACATGTAAACAACAAACTCTGATTATTATTTACACCCAAAACAAAGAACTCTGATCATTATTTACACCCAAAACAAACACACATCATTTATCAGCCACTTATATGAAATATCTTTTCACGTATACTTCTTTTATACGAAACAAGACACCTGGCGAGCCCAAGCTCTAACAACTTATGACCAAACAACAAAAAAAATCACCACAAAATGAAGAACACAAAAAATGAATATTTTTACAACTCTAAGATACGGTATAAACCACAAACATTCATCCAACAATATTAACTTCACACAATCTAATCAGCATCAGAAAACAACTTAAACTAAAGCACCCAATATTTACATATATCCTCAAAACAAAGCAGCAACTAATATAATCTTGATATAATACCAAACATTCAACCAATATCAACCAATTATATCTTCACAAACAGATATAACTCAACAACCAAAACAACTAATTACAACCAATAAACCCTGATCAATTAAGATCACCACAATTATATTCAACCACTTCAACAAACCAACAAAACTGACTTCAAAACAACAAAATTCTCTTCCCAATAAAAAAATAACCCCTCACACTATAAGCGTGTGTCTCCTAACTGATGTAAAATCTCTCTCTAAACGCGCATATTTGCTAGCTAAACGATCTGACCTTTAAACATGTATACATACAGCGACTGGTTTAAACATGATATTTACACTCTACTAAAAACAATGTATCACTGTAAAGAAATATTAACTCGTTGTTTCATCTACAATAATATATCACTGTAGGGAAATATTAACTCGTTATAAGATACATATCTACATATAAACTTCATGATTATTCTGACAGCCCCCTACTCAAGAAAACACTCCACTGTTTTCAAACAAAATGAATAATCTACAATGTCTCTTTTCAAGTATCGAGTCTACTTAGGTAATCTGCACACACGTTGTCCTTTCCTTTCACAGCTACTATTCTAAACTTATAGTTCTGTAGAAATAATGCCCATCTCATTATGCGGCCACTTTCAACTTTACATTTCTGAATATACGTTAAAGGAGCATGGTCTGTATGCAGCTCAAATTCTTTCCCGTACAAATATTTGTTGAATTTCTTTATTCCAAATACCATTGCAAGACATTCCCTTTCGATAACCGAGTAGTTTCTTTCTCTATTCAACAATTTCTTACTCGCGTAAGCTATTGGAAGCAGACCATCATCAAACTGTTGAAGAAGTGCAGCCCCAACTCCGGTATCTGAGGCATCACATTGTAAAACAAACGACTTTGAAAAGTCTGGAAGTCGTAGTATTGGTGATCGTGTCAGTACTTGCTTCAATGTCGTAAAGGCTTTTTCATGTTCTGGTTTCCATATGATTTTATTTGGCTGTCCTTTCTTCGTAAGATCTGTCAATGGTGAAGCAATTTCTGCAAATGAAGCAATGAATTTTCTGTAGTATCCGACTAGACCAAGAAACGATCTCAGTTGCTTCTTTGACTCTGGTCGCATAGCGTCTCTAATTTTGACTAATTTGTCATCTTCCATTTGCATTTGTCCTTTGCCAACAACATGACCGGTAAATGGTATACTTTCAAACCCAATCATACATTTAGAAGGCTTAACTGTGATCTTTGCGTTTCGTATTCTTTCGAACAATTGTCTCAACATCTTCATGTGTCTCTCCCATGTAACCGTATGTCCAAGCACATCGTCAACATAGTTATCAGTATCATTCACTCCGGAAAGCAACTTTCGCATCATTCTATTAAATGTTGCACCAGAATTGACCATTCCAAATGGCATCTTTCTGAATTGGTAACTACCTTCTGTTGTAGAAAATGCTGTGAGATGTCTTGATTTTGCTTCAATTGGTATTTGCCAAAAACCTTTGGTCAAATCAATTTTTGTGAAGAACTTATCTTCTTTTAGCTTTGCCATCACATCCTCAACATTACCCATTGGTTCTGTATCAAACTTTGTTACAGAGTTGAGTCGTCTGAAGTCAATACAAAAACGGTTTGTATTATCCTTTTTCTTCACCAAAACAATTGGAGAATTATAATCAGAATTTGCTGGTTCAATGATACCACATTCAAGCATTTTCTTAATTTCATCCTCTACCGCTGTCCTTTTTGCATATGGTATCGTATATTGTCTAACACGAATTGGTGTTTTGTCAGTCAACTCAATCTTGTGAGATTCAAGATCTGTAGTTCCAGGAACGTCAGTAAAAATATCCTCAAATTCTTGAAGCAACGCATTTACTTCTGATTTTTGTTCAAGTGTTAATTGATCATTAACATTAACATCTCTGTACGTCTCTTCACCCTGTGTGTCTACTAGTTCTAAAAGATTTTCATCATCAACTACCCCAGTATCATCATTATTTTCAGCTTCTATTACAGCTACACTCGCACAAATTCTATCTTCTCTTTCTTCGTATTTCTTCAGAAGATTTATGTGGTACATCCCAATTCTATCACCTACTTTAACTTTGTAGTCAAACTTGTTAACTGCTTCACTTACAACAAATGGACCTTTCCATTGTAACATCAGTTTATTGTGTGTTGAAGGCAGGAGCAATAAAACTTTGTCTCCTTTCTTAAGACTTCTTGGTCGTGTTTTCTTATCATAATGATGTTTATACTCTTCTTGTGAGTTGCTGAGATTCTCTCGAGCAATCTTGCATGTTTGTTCTAATCTATTTCTCAAATCTAGTACGTACTCATACGTATTACGTGTCTCTGGTACTTCTGTCTCTGTCCATAATTCGTTTAGTGCTTGCATGGGACCTCTAACAGTTCTTCCATATAGTAGCTCAAATGGTGAGAACCCTGTACTTGACTGAGGGACTTCTCTGTATGCAAAGAGAACCGCAGACAAATATCTGTCCCAATCCTTAGGTCTTTCTTGGCACATTTTCTTCAACATGCTTTTTAAAATACCATTCATTCTCTCACAAAGACCATTACATTTTGGATTGTAAGGGGTAGTAAACAACTGTTTCAGTGATACAAGTCTACAAACTTCTTCCATAAGTTGTGACGTGAACTGACTACCCCTATCACTAAGTATTTCCGATGGGAAACCTACTCTTGCAAAAATATCTAACAATGCTTCAGCTATATTTTCAGTCTCAATTCTTGGTAAAGCAACAGCTTCTGGGTAACGTGTAGCATAATCAACTACAGTTAATATGTACCTATTTCCCTTTTCCGATACAGGCGTTATTGGCCCTATCAAATCAACCGCAATTCTCTGGAACGGAGTATCAATAATAGGCATTTCACCTAAAGGAGCTTTCTGAAGTCTACCCCTGGGCACCGTCTTCTGACAAATGTCACAGGAACGACAAAATCTAGTAATATCACTAGAAATACCTGGCCAGTGAAAACTAGACTGTATCCTGTCTAAAGTCTTGCGTACAGACAAATGCCCACCCACTATAGATTCATGAGCTAATGACATAACTCTTTTGTGATATTTACTAGGAACAACTATTTGTCTTGTTTCAGACTTCAAATCACCTTTCACCGTCTCAAATATTCTATACAACACATCTTTTTCTACTTCATATCTAAATTTATTACCACTTTTTGTTTTCATGATCTTATTTTCCCTAGCATACTGCCACAAACGCTGTAACGTATTGTCATTTGATTGTTCTTTCTTAAGAACATCTACCGTAATTTCGTTATCTTCGACCTTTGGAACTTTAAGAGGTTTCATTGCTTTCTTCTCTTTCTCGGCCTGTGCTCTAGTAACAACAGCAGCTATGTTTGTTACTTCTCGGCTAACCCACTTCTCATTTGGCTTATCAAGTACACCCTGAATATTGCCCAAGACTAAGTCACAAATTGCTGACTCTAAAACCATAGCTTCTATTTCACCCTTATAATAAGGCGTATCAATGTCTATTTTTGCCATGGGTACCAACCTGGCCCGACCATCTATTGCTATCATGACACAATTTTTATTCAGCATTTGATCTTCTTCCACTAACTTCTTTCTAACTACTGCTAACTCGCAACCAGTGTCTCTTAGAACTTTCACCTCTTGATTACCAACATATCCTAGTTTCAGATCCAATTGACGTTCACCTTCTAATGATTCAATTGTACAGCTACTTGTAATGACAGGCACAGAATTACCATTGGCTAATTTAAGTTTTCCCTCTTCAATACAACCATCATAAGAACTTGTTGGAGAAATTGACATACATAACCCCGATACTTCCTTATCATCTGATCTCCAATCACGTCTATTTTCTCCAGGCCTACTACGCCAGTTCCTTGGTGAAGAATCCCGATTTGTTTTAAAGTTCTATTTTGCTCTCCATATGACATCGCAGCAGCCCCATATCTTTTCTTAGTCTGATCTCGACAATCTCTGGCCACATGACCCTCTCTATTACATATGAAGCATGTAACTTTTCTATTTTCTCTGTGATAGTGCTGTATTGGTTTTAATAGATTACCTTGATTAAGGCGTATTGGTGATTTATTTGAAAAGCTGGCAACTTTTGAGCTTTTACTATTTGTAATTGTACCGCCATGAGCCTCTAAGTATTGTTCAGCCAAAGAGATGACATCTCTACGATCCTTTGGCTTTCGTTCCTTAAGAAAAAGAGCTAGCTCTGTTGAACAAACTTTGACAAATTGCTCTCTAATAATAAGATCTTTCAATTTATCTACTGTATCCGCAGCATCGGCCATTTCTGTCCATCTACTGAAGTACCTATATAAGCGAGCCATAAATTGGTTTACAGTCTCCCCTTGTTCCGGCTTACTCTCTCTAAATTTCGTTCTGAAACCGTCTTCTGTTAATTGGTATCTTTTCAAAACTGCTGTTTTTAATTCTTGATAGTCTGATGCTTGCTCAGGAGGCATACTAGTGTAAACTTCAAGACCTTTCCCCGTTAATAACGAACTTAAGCCTATTGCCCATGCACTTCCTTCCATCCTTGACTGATAGAGAATCTTTCAAAACGCTCTATATAAGCATCTTGGCCTCAAACCGGTGCTAGGTGGGGTATCAAGGCGATCCCCAGCCTCAATTTTTAACTTCATTAATTCTATTTCTTGCTCTTTCAATTTCATTTCTACTTCAGCTTGAAATAAACGTTTCTTTTCCTCACACTCAGCTTCTTTTTCTAAACGCTCTGCCTCAAATCGCCGTCGCTCTTCCTCACGTTCATCTTCTTTTGCTTTACGCTCGGCCTCAAATCGCCGTCGCTCTTCCTCACGTTCATCTTCTTTTGCTTTACGCTCGGCCTCAAATCGCCGTTTATCTTCTTCACGTCTAATATTTCTCTCTTCTCTATCAAGATATTCTGATTCTTTCTTTTGAACATAATCACGTAACTCCCCGTCCTTCAACCCAAGCCTCTCTCCCAATGATACCCATTTATCATAATCCATAATTGCTTAATAATGGATTACTATTAAAGAAATAATAAACTTTTACGAAACCCGTAAAGTAAACACTTATTAATCAACAAAATGGTGTACCTCTGTAGCACCGACAATCGTTATTCCAAATCTAATCTCTATATAACATGGCACCTACCGGGCACCGGCAATGAACTTGTATCAACAGTAACAACCAGGGCACCGATATTAATCTTCATGTAGTGTTTAACAACTATGTAAACTTTATGACAACAACCAACTGAGCACCGGCGGCAAAAACCATCTATTCAATTATTACATACACTTTTATGAATAATCACCCACTGGACACCGGTTATAAACTTTTATCAATTACTGATGTTTATAACTTCAACAAATTATAAGCTATATCTTTATCATTGATATAAACTTATTAACACAATGATTCAAACTATCAAAACAAATGTCTCCCCAAAACCACTTAATTCTATCACCGTATAAACAGTATTCAACAAAGGGTGCTCTCCTGCTAAAATGCAATAACTTCTTCAGTATAAATAAACTTTTAAACACAGCCCGTCACCGCTTCTATACATATAACTCTCTACTTAAACTCTATTGTACAGAGAGTTTACTTGTATAACACTACAACGAAGGTTTATCGATTTTCGCCTAACAGCTTTTACACTGCAGTATTTTACCAACAGATCGTAAATGATTTAAGGTTTAACAAAATTTTTATCAAAGTTTAACAAACAATATTTTGCCAGGAAAAATTCCAACTTAAAGAGAATATCCCGGACGAGCCCCCAAATTGTCAGGAGAAATGTCTGCCTTGATGTTATTTAATCTAAGAAAAGATTTAGTAATAAATACTAGAACCAATTTCCAAGATATGGAGGCTGGGCAGCACCGCCTGACATAAAAGTGAAATATTCTCAGTTGGAAAACTAGCATGTAATTGTTTAGTTAACACTATCTTTTTTTTAGGTATTTTTATCCTTTTCTATCTCAAATCAATATATACATGTAAACAACAAACTCTGATTATTATTTACACCCAAAACAAAGAACTCTGATCATTATTTACACCCAAAACAAACACACATCATTTATCAGCCACTTATATGAAATATCTTTTCACGTATACTTCTTTTATACGAAACAAGACACCTGGCGAGCCCAAGCTCTAACAACTTATGACCAAACAACAAAAAAAATCACCACAAAATGAAGAACACAAAAAATGAATATTTTTACAACTCTAAGATACGGTATAAATCACAAACATTCATCCAACAATATTAACTTCACACAATCTAATCAGCATCAGAAAACAACTTAAACTAAAGCATCCAATATTTACATATATCCTCAAAACAAAGCAGCAACTAATATAATCTTGATATAATACCAAACATTCAACCAATATCAACCAATTATACCTTCACAAACAGATATAACTCAACAACCAAAACAACAAATTACAACCAATAAACCCTGATCAATTAAGATCACCACAATTATATTCAACCACTTCAACAAACCAACAAAACTGACTTCAAAACAACAAAATTCTTTTCCCAATAAAAAAATAACCCCTCACACTATAAGCGTGTGTCTCCTAACTGATGTAAAATCTCTCTCTAAACGCGCATATTTGCTAGCTAAACGATCTGACCTTTAAACATGTATACATACAGCAACTGGTTTAAACATGATATTTACACTCTACTAAAAACAATGTATCACTGTAAAGAAATATTAACTCGTTGTTTCATCTACAATAATATATCACTGTAGGGAAATATTAACTCGTTATAAGATACATATCTACATATAAACTTCATGATTATTCTGACAATGTATATGATATCGTTCTATTTGAAACTAAGCGAAACTTGTCGATTTCAATTTATATATTGTAAGCGACTTGATAATTATATACATGTATATATATACAGATGCTGAAAAGTCTGCTCATGAGGACAACAAAGTATTAGCCGCAAGGCTTGCAGGTAAATGTACTTTGTTCCCACTGAAATATTGAGACATAAACAAAACAGGCATGAGCAATGAAAGTTGCATTTTTGGTTTTAGTTTTAAAGTGTAAATATGCTATGATACCTGTCAGCATAATTATGTTGTTTTCATACTGTAACAAATCCACAACAAAGAAATGAAATGAAGCAAATAACAAGAGTCATAACAAATGTTCTTTTAAATTTGATGCTCATTCTGAATAAAAAACAGAATCATTTATTTTAATGCATAGCATACAAATTGTCAAATAAGGGACAATAATTAAGATTGTGTCCGAATGATGATGACGATGCCAAAACGTCGCTGTTTCATATTTCCATAGAATTACTGAAGATAATTCATAAAGGTCAAACGTCCTGGTTTTCTAATAAGATATTATTATATTATAATATCTTTTTTTAACAAATCATTGCATTTTTTCCAATACATTGGTCAGTTGTGTAGGTATTAAACGTATTGATTTTGGACAAATCTCTTAATCATTTTCATGCCGTCGCCCATGACCACGTCTCGGCAACAACCCTGATGTTTCTATGAAGCATGCAGCTAAACATACAAGTTTTGAACCTGAAAATTACAAGTCGGTTAGACAAGTGTGTGCCCAAATGTATTGTCTTCTATTTCCATCATCATGATTCTGAAAGAAAACAGTTTTTGTTTCGGGAATTATGTAAAATGCAAGGAAAGATCAGAAATTCACCTTAACACTAAATACAACAACGACCATTTGTGATTTTTTATGCGATATCCCCATTTTTTCAAAGGAATACGTAAAATCCCTTATTGCACTTTTTCTGCTGTAACATACACAGCTTAAGAATATAACATTATTGGATATCATTTTCTGAATCAGTTATGAACATGAAATTGTACTTCTTGTAAGTGAAAGCAATAGTATTCCACAATATAATTGTTGGTTATAGAAATAAAATGATATGACATGTTTTAGCATGTAACACTTTAAAATTTGACAAGTCCAATATTTATACGTATATATTTAGTCACATAATTTTTTTAACGCAAATAAATATTTGACAAAGTATTTTAAAAAAAGTTAAATTGATTGATTCTATAATATTATTTTTCATACTCTGTACATTTTTATTTATTAAATTTCTCCATTTTAGATGCTGAAAAAACAATAGTGCACCTTAACGACACAATTGTAAGCAACCAAAAATCTGCTGATGGTACAACCTATATACGCTGGGGTCGTACAACATGTCCCGGTAAAGCCGTTCTAGTGTACGACGGCTACGTTGCTGGATCATATTACGCTCATAGCGGAACTGCATCAAATCCGTTATGTTTACCAAAAGATCCAGACTACGACAAGCAAACAAATGGTTTTCAATATGCAGCTAGGATATATGGAGCAGAATATAAAACAAGTACCTACCCGCATTGGCAATATCTGCATCATCACGAAATTCCATGTGCAGTCTGTCGAATACCACGTAATAACGTTCTGATGGTGCCGGGGAAAAATCGTTGTCATGACAGTTACATATTAGAGTATAAAGGCTTCCTTATGGCTGAGCACTACAGTCATGCTTCATCCTCTGAATTTGTGTGTGTTGATGGAAATCCCGAAACGTTAGAGGGAACTCATCAGAATTTAAATGGGAAACTGTTTTATTTTGTTGAAGGGGAATGTGGTTCGCTACGATGCGATCCATATAAAAACGGTTGGGAGCTGACATGTGCTGTTTGCTCGTACTCATACAATGCAAGATCGACGAGTGTTCAGCCATATACGTAGTTGACATACTAATCAAAATAGTCAGCAAACAAACAATGCCTTATAGAGACAGAAATGTAGATCATTTCTTCAATTGATTTTGTTATATTCAATTTAAATATTCTCAAATCAAAGTAGCATTATCACTGAATAAAATGAAAAGAATAAAATAAAATAAAAGCTAAAACAAATAAACGTTGTCTTCCTTAATTGTGTAAGCTAGGGTATTGGTGATAGAGACATATAAAAAATGTAGAAAAAATGTACATATTATAGTTATTTTTTGTAACATGAACGTTGTTTTCTTTAATAACATTTACTAATTTAAGTATTTCTATAACATTATTACTTAACAGGTACAATTTGCGTCAAGCATATAAATACTCTACTACACTATTTTACAAACAACGGTGACACGGGACCCCTGTAAAAGGGAAAAGAAAATACTATTATAGTAATTAAAAATGAAATAAGCGTTTTGCATTCAATCAACGTTTCAATTAGCGTTTTTATGTTGGAGAATGCAGTATAACACATAAAACAAAGCAAATAGTTATACATTAAAGTTTAATTATGTAAGTACCCATTAATTATTTGAACGCAAAGTTCATAGTTCTAAGCGTTTATATTGGTACTCGTTACAATTCAGCTATTAGATGAGTACGCTGTAAATACATCGGAGTTTTGAAAATCTATTGGCAAAATAGGATCGGATTTTAAAAAAGATAATGATAATACAATAGAAGTTTTTTTAGATGGTGAATCAATCTAAGGTGATATAGATATTGTTTTATCATGATTGTTCCCTGTTCCAAACTACAGATAATGATACCGATACATCAAATGATAATAAGAATACTCATATATCTTTGTAAGACGTTCGAAATGCTATAAACTCTGTTAATAAAGGTAAGGCTAGTGGAATAGACAATATCCTATTTAAGTACTTAATAATGATGCATTAATATATTATTATTCATGTTTTTTAATATATGTTTTAACTTACAAAACGGCCGATATTGTTTTTTTTTTTAAATCTTACAATTGCACTTTTTTAGATATCACCTCAAGAAAACTATATTTATAATAAACAATAGTTTCAATATCTGAAGAAAATTTAAGGTGAGAAAATAATCAATATTTTCCAATGCAAAATGATCGTTCTATAAAGTGAATGCAAAAAGTAAATTCCTCTGATTGTGATACAGTTCACTTTCAGAACAAAGGCATTCATATGAAGCTGTAAAAAGAAAAACCTCAAATTCATTATTATTATCGAAAAGTATCAAATCTGTATAGTCTATTAGTAAGCAAAATTATTTCACGTAAATTATGGAATATAAATTTAAAAATCTAAAACGAGATGATAATGACACAATAGAATTATATTAATTTAAATGAATTATATGAAACAAAATGTAAAGGTTATGTTTTAAAGCAACGTTGACAAATATTATACAAAAACATTACAGTTTATATTATTAAAAAGTTTAAAAAACATGGGAGAGATGAAGATGTAATTGTAATCGACAGACTGCTTAGGGGCACATTTTAATTAATGACAACGGCTGCGCGTTTTTATAAAATAAATAAGTCATAAGAGGTTCAATTGCGTGTTTTGATTGGACTTCTGCAATACGTAACTATGGTAATTGCACAATTTTAATCTGATGTTTAATTTTAGATTTCATAATTCGGAATACTAAAAACTTTCTGGTGAGAAGATGAAAACAAAACTAATTTAGATAATGGAATGTATTAATAACGATCGGTTGTTATTCTTTTTGTAACCAATTGTCTCAATTTACCTATTAAGAGGTCAGAAAAATACCCTGAAGGCTCGTGGTAGTGAATAATGAGACTTTAATCGACATTTTACACAATAAGGTAAGAAAATACAAACAGAAAATTTAAAAAGTATAATATTAAACACATAAGATTTTCCGTTTGTCAGAATGCATTAACGTATTATTTCATTAACACTCTATGTCATTGATTATTGCATTTAATTTTATTTAACCAATAAGGAAATACAAACAGAAAATTAAAAAAGTATAATATTTCAAACATTAGTTTTTTAGTTTGTCAGATTGCGTGAACTTATAATTTCATAAGTAAATAAATCCATTTTCAACCAGGTCGATTGAAATACAGATCACGAATGAAATGCTTGAATATATTGCCAAAAACAGAAGTAGCATTGTAAATTAACAACTGCCAGTACGGTACTTCATTTATGTCCGTAGTTTTATAAATTGCCTTTAAAAATGAAATTGTATATGTATCAATTATATGTATCACTTACAACTTACTGATATTTAGTGAATTTACATATTTTAAGTAACATCAGTTCCAATTAATAAGACTGTCTTACTTCAAAATAGTGACATCATATAAACCTATCTCGTCAATTATAATAATCTAAACAGAAATAAAACCTAACAGATGTTAACTTTTAAAAACAGAAACCTTATAAAGCAATATATTTTGGGAAATAATGAGAGGTAATATATATATACTGGGATGAAACATATTAATACATTCACACACTTTAATTGGCGTCCGCGCCGAAGCGCGGCGCCCTATATGGAATGAAATCAATTTTGTGAAAGTGCGACAACAACTTCTCGAGCCTTTTAGTCGGTCATGATAAAAGCCGATCATTCCGATCGGTATGAGGGTGTTTGATTATTAATTAAAAATGAAATGTCGCGATATGTACAATGGATAGCGAAATGGCGAATTTCGCAATGCAAACATTTTCAAATGAAATAACCTTTTCCGCTCTTCGGAGTATTTTTATTTATCATTTTGTAGTACACAGTGGGTTATTATGGTATGTTATTGTTGGACATGTACATGTATCCGAAAGCTGTAAATAGAATGATGAGTTGATATCCTAACTATTCCGAAAATCTATTTATAGAGGGATGTACTTCTATCGGTAATTCCCGGTCTCTCCTGGTTTATTTTGATCGGGATTTACTAGTGACCGGCGAATAGTACCACACGTTTATTGTCCGGTCTCTCCCGTTTTTGGAGTAGATATTTGATATCGTTACAGAACAGAACAAATATTTAACAGATAAATAAGCTTTTTTTCCTTATTTAAAAAATGATAAAGAAAAATACAAATATACATGTATATGGTTTAAGAATAAACAATATTATATATTGAAAGATTAACCATAATTTACTGACCTTTTTCTATTAAGTTTTGACTTATAATCGTCGGTCAATATGACAACTGAATTCTTAAATTGTAGTAAACGTAAAAACTCAGTATTAAAATAGCACATAAAACACAAAAGAAAAGAAAACAATATTCATAAAATCTGAAATTTTCTTTATTGAAATAGATATTACTATTGTTGTATAATAAACAATTATGCTCAACATGATCAACATGTTAATATAGCCAGTGTCACTAAGTGTGAACAGATACCTTAAGAGGGTGTCTTCGCTAATAGCGATAACATAATAAGGGACAATTACACAAGTGTGGTGTTGATCATGCATAACACATATGAATTATAAATGATTGTATACAATCATGTTTATCCGTTGCTATTAATAATAATGATCATAAGGAAATAACAAGTAATATTCTAATCTCTAGCATAGCTAATAATGAACAATGTCTTTCGTCCGTTCATTCATAAGTGATATACAATTCTGTTAAAAACCAATTAACTATTGAAAAGTTTATAAGAATATCTTGTCGTCATATATCTACTAGTTCATCTTCACCTGCTGCATTTCTTGCTTGGACGCCCTTTGATGCTTTGCATCAATGCTTTTCTTGTATCCCTTTGTAATATATACACTTTTATAAAGATGTTTAATGAATCAGTGTGACCTTGACCCGAGGTATTCTAAAACTGCCCTCTTCACATCGCCTTATTGTGGTTGACATTTCTCCAAATTGTTTCAATTTCCTTCCACCTTTTCAAAAGAAACAGATCGGACACGAAAACGGGAAAAAATTGAAAATAAAACAAGTTTCACAGACAAATTCGTCAAAATAAAATTATAAAACGCTTTTCAACGTTTTCCTTTCTTATAATTCTTATTATTCCTTTACACACACTGTAAATAGATAATTATTTACCTAATATAAAACGGCAAACATACACTATTATAATGCATTTTTTCGAATTTTGAATGGTTTATACAGAGTTAATTTTAGTTGTATTGTGTAATGATACATACACTCTCGATTCTGTTGCAGGAACGAGCCAGTACTGAGTAATTAGTGTTAAAATCAACAAGGAAGAGCGCGTTAATTAAAGTTTTTTGCATAAGGAAACAACGGCTTGATTGGCTGATGATACCGTTATGCTAAAATATCAACGCAGACAGGAATAACAATTATAAAAAGCGTAGACTGTTCATTACGAATGCGCACAAAAATATTTTATCATATTATACATTTTGACATATTTCTCGAGTCTGATATCATTTGAGCTAGACTCGATCTCTATATGCTCTTTGTATGCTTCCTAAAGTTATTCACTAATCTTGTTTTCTTATTAAACATTGAATTGTTGAAAGCTATGCCAGTTTCTGCCATGCAATATTTACAAAATTTAATAAATAGTCAACCCAATCACAGAGGCTACTTTCCGTGTAACATTTTTCGTTTTGTTAGAACGTAAAAGTGAAAATAACTGCTCGTAAGCCTATGCAACTATGTTTGCCAATCTTCACAAATAGTAGCACCAATCATAATTTTATTGTCAATACTTCTGTTTTTTTTTGCTTCAACAAGGGAAGTAATTAAAGAAATATAATGATACGTCATGTTATCGATATTTCTTTCCCTTTTAACATTTTACTTTATACAGTAAAATAGAATTGAGTATATAAAACGTGAAAATAGCAGTAACACAACATCATATAAATACTTAAATTTGTTTTCATTTGAAGAGCATGATTTAGAAACAAGTGAATTATAGAAATATACAATATATAAAAAAAAGCACAACGTATATTTTTCTTCCATATAACTGAGTATTGTTAAATAACAGATTCATATTATTATTCTAACGACATAAATTGTTAATAAATTTTAATGTTTAAAAGTCACGTTATTTT